TTGAGTTGCACATACCACAGGTACATAATAGAATTTTCTTTTGTATTGTGGACGATTTTACAAAAACATATACAGTATAAGTAGGTACTCATACACATTTTAACCAGACCCGAAACAAGAATTCGTTGATCACACAAAGTAATTTCATGAAATCAAACAACTTCCTAATCCTACAGTAACTGTTACAAAACTTACAAATACAATTCAAAGTTCTTATGCAAAACTAGATCAAAATCAATCCATTCATTTATAAGCTATTAGCTTTTATCCGCGACTCCGTTCGCGTGAAATAGTGACTTCCTGCAAATTTTTGGTATAAAAACTATCCTATGTCTTTTCTGGACTTCCAAGCTATGTCTGTACTAATTCCACAGAAATCGGCTCGTAGTTTAGGTGTGAAGAAAAGGCAGACAGACAGACAGAGTGCTATATTAGTTTGGATGACGGCACAAACAAATATGCACCCGAACTGTAACTAAAATTGACTATAAAAGTGAAGAGAAGAGTTTTTCACTCGTCCTTCTTCAAAGGAATCTTTGGAACGACAAAATATTTTCACTAGAGGACTGACCGACATTTTTTATTTAAGTTCAAAAGTACGTAGTGCTGGTCTACTTGAAGTACATGATTTGATTATGATATACCTATACACATATAGTAAATATCATATATAGCAATATAGTAAGATACACAGTAGTATATTAAGTACTAGGATTGAAAAAAAATCTGGTCCTTTTGATCTTGGTCCTTGGGTTCGTAGTTTCAACGTCGAATAGAGTCAAGCGAGTTCATTTTGCGATCGTCAAAACGAGCAAATAGAGGTACTGCCCGTTAGTGACGGTCACAAACCAACTTCGCTTAACAAGCTTTTCTTCTGTTACGTTTTCCTGTCTTCATAGTTGATTGGTCTTCTGTATTTCGTTGGGAGTGGTCCTTTTGGTTTCGTGTGTGAGTGTGTGGTTTTAGTAGTCGTTGAAACTGTTGAAGCCTAGAAATTTTCAAAAGGCCAATTATTTGATGAAACCAGATGGTGTGAACAAATAGATCTCTCACTTTTAAAAACAATCATTTAAGTTTCTTTCTAGAGCTTGTTGTCATATGTATATTTCGGATAGTTCGATTTTTCTTGGGTCGCACAGTTAAAACTCCTTTAAACAAAGTAACTTGTACTAAGAGTTTCAAACCTGCAATGTTTTGCCCAACCCTTGAATCGCATACCTGATACCAGAACCTTTGCTATTCTGTCACGCTTATGGCCGTTTCACTAAATGCTGTAATAATAACAAATAATTGTAGAGTTGGATACTAAAAGTCTACTTTGATAGTATAACATCTTAAGTAACAGTTTTGACTTATGCAGTATAATGCATCTTTCAGGAATTCGAACTGTCCGACAACCTGAAACTGAAATCGAACAAAATTAAAACATATGTAAGTACTTAACATAATCCTAACTAATTCATGTTTGTCAAAAAAAAGAATCGTTAGAATTTCACTAATTGGTCTCATTATGGAATTAATAATTGTTAGAAAAACAATGTAATGACTGCAGCTGAGTAATGATACATTTGAGTTTATTTAGTAATTTAATTACAATACAAAGCAATTAGATTTCTAAAGGTTAAATAGAGATAAACAAGAGATTTGCAAATCAAGTGCTTAAAATTGGGTAGTTTTTTAGGTCAAAAATAAATTGAATCGACGTTCCAATACAATAAGATACTGAAAATATAACTATACTCTCATTCATCAATCTGATACACCATATTTTCTTTATTGTTTAGCTATTTTTTTAAGAAATAAGTAAGCTATTTGACGCATGAATACTGTGACGTCATAATTAGGAATTTCATAAAAAAATCAATAAAAAGTATCGTATAGTTTTTCAAATTTGGATAAAAGTATTGAATTTGACTAGTAGGAAACTACCGTATTCAGATTTCTATTAAACTAACATCAGTAGCTAAACGTGTGCACCAAGATATTTAATGCACGGCTTTTAAGTAGCTCTAGATGCGACTGTCGATCAGTCAGACTAAAGTCAACTTTGAGGCCCGAATGAATTTTGCTTTAGACTGACTTTTTTAAAACCGGAAAAGTTTAACAATACTTTTGCTATTTCAAGACTCGTACCAGAAATCATTTGACCTATTCAATTCATGTTAAATTCTATAGAAATGCAGCCAATTAGTCATGAAATATCACCCAACATTATAATAAGCCATTCATATAATACACTATAAAAATTTCGAGAAAGGTCATGGTGACAGATGGGATTTTTGTCTTTGAGGGAAATTCGTCAAATCACTTCTCCCGCCCTGGGCGTGTCAGAATCTTACTGACAAAGCCACCTCGTTGCTTTTCCTCCTCTGGGCCGGGAGTACTGCGGTACTGAGGGGGTGATCCGATGGGATGGCAGACGGACACAAGTGAAGAGAGGTTAGACGCAGACTACTTTACGTGCTTTCCGTGAAACGGAGGTGTAGCCGCCGAACTTCTTGACTCCCGGCTAGAAATAATCAATGTACCTAATCAGGAAACAAAATAAATTATTCTACATTTAACACATGTGACTATACATACACTAAATAATAAAGTTTTGATAAACATCCTTTTAGGTAACCGAGGCACAGACGCGGTTATGGAACAATACGCGTCATTGTCACCTGTACAAATATTTAATAGACAGTTCTCACTCATTTGGAACTCGATTCGATGGATAAACGAACTCGTTTTGGTTGGTAACTTAGTCATTAATTATAGCACAGCCACGAATGCTTCGTCTCGAGCAAAGTGATACCGCGGCCTCACAGAAAACTAGCGTGAAACAACCACAGCGTTGTGTTTCGCCATGTGAGTAAGTGAGGTAAATCACCAAAACCTTAAAAAGTTAGCAACGTACTTGTTATGGTTGTAACCTCCGTCATATCAAATAAAAAAGATATTGCCGCTTTTCTGCAGTATGAGGATCGGGCATTCGGATGAGAAGGCGACGTTTACGGGGCGTATGATGAAATTACATTTGTGGGTTGGATGAGAAGAGCTGAACATCGAGCTCAGTGGCGTGCAATTTGAGATGCCTATGTCCAGCAGTGGAGAAAATTATGAGAAGAAGATATATCGGCGTGTAGCAATAGCGGCTTGGTGTCATCTCACAGCAAGAAAAGATTAAAGGTCTCAATTGAATTGACAATAAAAAGTTTACTTTTTTTAATTTCTGGTTTTGAAATTGTATTTAAATCGCTTCCTACAGAACCTTACAGACAGACTGTCATTTCTTTGTGTTTAATCTTTGTTAAACGTGCTTTTAATGGTCTAATTCAAATCAATAATTTTGACTTTTCACAGTGATATAGAAAACTTTTGGTTATAGTAACTTTTTTATTCAATATTTTTAAACATAGTTGACCTACATGTAAAGCTATATAACAGGTTATGTATCTATCAACTTCTGAAGAAAATTAAAAATAAGAAGATGAAAATGCAGCTATGTATGAGAAAATTCTAAATTCTAATAGGTAATCATTAGCCAAATGAAAGGTCGTATGTACGAGATTTGCACAAAGCATATAATACCTATGTATTCCATTTAATGATTATGGTTTATAACAAAAGGTTCAGCCCTATAGCAAGGAGGTCAATGACAAATAGGGTCCAAATTAAAAGGTTCGGAAGCGTTGAAAAATAGATTTTGTCCATTCTATCTAAACGCATCTATTTAATCTAGGTATGCAACTAAATGGAATTTAGAATTTATTAGCACTAGGATCTATAGTAAGACCGCATTAGCAAAACCACGTGTTTTTTAAAACGTCAAATTATTACCGAATGCAATAAAATAGGCGATATAACCTCAAAATATAGAAAAAAGGATCTTACCTGTTTGACTTAGATTCCAATTTTCTTTGTAATATAAAAGATTTGAATTGTTATAATTAATTCAGAACAAACAGAGATCCGTTTGAGAAGGTGATCGAGTGGGAACTGAGTGCGATAACGTCTGTGGTTCAGCAATGTAGGTCTTGCGAGCTATACCATACAACCTTCGATGTACAGGGCTGGATTGTAGCTGATGGAAATGCGGAAAATATATATATTTTTTTATCTCAATTTTTTTTTTATGGCTATGAAAAGTAACAAACACACTTACGCATCTATAATATTATTGACTAGCTTCCGCCTGCGTCGCGTCGCGTGGATATGTTGATAAAACTTAACCTATGTCCTATTCTGGAGTGAATCCCATGTCTGTGCCAATGTTATCCAGATCCGTCCAGCCGTTTTGGCATGATTGAGGAACAAATATCTAAACAACGTAATTTTCGCATTTATAATATTAGTAAGAAGTATGTGTTTGTGATGTTTTGAAAGACTAATAAATGGTATTTTATTTTTGGTGAGAAATGTATATTTTATTTTTGTTTCTTTTGTATTTAAAAGTAAATTCGAATAGGTATAGCACTAGGAAAGCTGGCTGTTACAGTGCTAAATTATAATTTCTTGTTGAAATAAAAGACAATTTTATACTTAAAAAGAAAGAAAGCTAAGTTTCATAAAAATGCTAGCAAACCGAAATAAATAAATACCACGCGACAGCAATTTAATTTACTTGAACAAAAACAAACAAAAACAAAAGCCAACAATCAGTTCTACATTATGTAGATACTTAGCTAAGTACTGGATTTATAAATTACATAAATAAATATATTTACTTAATAACTGCCTTTTCATTCTAAACACTTTATTTAAAACGATATTAATCTTAATTTCTATACTAATAATGTAAGAAACGCACAAATATTTCTGCCTAGGCCTGGAGAATGGGCGCCTTGTCGCCTCGCCCTGGGCGAAATAAGTCATTTGATAATTTATAGAAAATAAGCATTTATTTCTCAAAGAAATAGAATTTTTACGAAAATGAAATAGTTATTTCTCATTTATAATTCACGCACCCCAAGTAAAAGCATAAGAATTTCGACGAAATCTTGCTTTGTTTTGTAATGAAGGTAGCGACTTCTACTCAACAACCGAGGTGGTCTCTTTATGTATCGAATCTCTTCAAAATCATATTAAAATTAATATATGTATATATAACCGTTTAGATATAATACCGCGACTCCGTTCGCGTGGAATAGTGACGTCCTGCAGATTTTTTGTGAAAAATTAACCTATGTCCTTTCTCAAGCACCAAACTATGTCTGTAGCAAATTACACAGAAATTGGTTCTGTATTTAAGGCGTGAAGAAAAGACAGACCGACCGGGGTACTTTCGCATTTATAATATTAGTTTGGATAAAAGTCATTATTTTAAATTATGATTTAGAATACAGCCCTGTACTCGTGTGGTTTCATGTGTGTTCAAGTGTCTCCTATATTTGTTCTAATTCCTGCGTAAGAGTAACTCGGGCAACGTAATGATATCATTTTTGTATCCGATTATACTTTGGTACAATTGCATTTATCATCAAATACAAAAGGGGGTTGGCAGAGCTGTAGGAAAAAAATTCACCATCAATCCCATAGTAATAAGGGGTACCAGAAAGGAAGTCCAGACTGCGTGCTATTATAGGAATTTCCAAAAGTACCTATAGTTTTGTTCTGCTCTGTATGAGCATGGAACCCTTTTATTGCGCTCGGGACCATTCCACAATGAAGGCATTAAATATTTCTTTTTTATATGTTCTAGGACGGCAAACGAGCAAACTGATTACCTGATGGTAAGCAATCAGTGCCGCCCATGGACGTTGGATGTGCGTTGCCAGCCTTTTAGAGATAAGGGGATGGGGCGAGGGAAGGATAAGGCCTCTGGTAACCTCACGCACTCGGCGAAACACAATGCTGAGGTTGTTTCACGCCGGTTTTCTGCGAGGCCGTGGTATCAATCCGGTCAAGCCGACCCATTCATGTCGAAGCTTGGCTCTCCCATACTTAAATTATACTTCTTAATACTATATCGTCCTGTTTTTTTATCCTTTGTAGAGGAGAATAATAGTTCCAGAAATGGACTCTCTGATGGGTTGTTAATATAAATTATCTTTTTTTTGTTCCTTATCAAAGGGTAAAGTTGGGAGACCTATTACTAAGACGCCACTGTCCATCTGTCTGCCTGTCTACAAATAGGCTGTATCTCATGTATCGTCATCACTAAACATTTGAAAGTTGGGATGATCGTATATTTCTGTGGCCATCAAAACAACAAAAAATAAGAAAGCCCAAACAATAACAAAAATAGCAAAAAAAAAAAATTCTTTCTTTTTCTTTTCTTCTTCTTTTTTAAAACGTTGCCCAACTCTAGGATTTTCTCCTGTGTTGCGGGACTCATGGGTATGTTTACAAACATACAATTTCACATACATACGAGACTTAGACCCGGACCAACAATTTGTGTATTACACAAAGAGTTGTTCCGTTCACGACATGTTGCGCGGCAACCAGTTGCCCAGCCATATCGTCAACCATGCGGTTAGTTATAATGTCTCGCGAAAAGGAACGGGATGGTTTCTAGGAAGTTAGAGTCAGACTCTGCCGTCTCCAAGGCCGAGTGAAGTCATGGGATGGTAAAAAAACACACTGTAACATCTACAATTTAATTTCTATGTTATATGTAGAGGATTATGTTTTGGTTACACACAAGACACAAATTCCAATCATCCGCATCCACATGATCCTGGAGAGTGCCTTAACCTCCGGACCACCAGCTGGGGTTGCGGGTATAAGCGCAACACAATACAATTTTTAGTCAGTAGGATTCTGTGGATTCTGACATTATCTTCCGTCTCACCCGGGGCGGGAGGAATCATTGGTTGAATTTCCCAATGAAAATAAACTTCAGGGCCACCATAACCCTATTACTCAACCTAAATAACATTCTAAAATATGTCCAAAATGGGGGCATCTAACGTTATAAAGAGAAAATGACAAAAGAATTACAATATCATTGTTTAAAATTCTATTTGTACAAGTAATTAATTAATACAAGACGGTTTGGTTCGTAAGGAGGGCAGGGCAGGTAAGCAAACATAGTGAAATATTTGTACAAATGTTTTAAGTGCTGATGTTACAAAATATGTAGGTAGTGTTTAAACGGAATTCTGGACTGTTTTACATTCTAATGATACATACCTACCTATGATTACTGAAAATAGATTGTGCCACGCTTCGGCACGAATGGGTCGGATCAATTGGAGTGATGTCACAGCCTCAAAGAAAACTGCCGTGAAGCAATACTTAACTTGTGTTTTGCCGTGTAAGTGAGGTTACCAGAGACCCAATCCTTCTCCCCGCTATCCTCAATCCTCAAATTCCCCATCCTTACTACCCCTATAATCCTCAAGAGCCTTTTGAGGATTATAGGAGAAGTAAGGAAACGCGCTTGTAGTAGGTAGTAGTAGCTTATAGTTGTCCTTTGGAATTACGAGTGTCCATGGGCGGCGCTGATTGCTTATCATCTTCCATCTGCTCGTTTTACTTACCATGATATAAACAATAAATAAAGAGTTACATTACTCTTAACAAGTCTTAAAAAAAGAATTAAACCGAAGCAAATGAATCTCAAGCGAGCCTGATCAACCTTAGTGACGTCACGGCTTTAAAGGCAACTGAACTTGTATTTCATCGTTTAAGTGAGGTTACCAGAGTTCTCTTCATTTACTCCCCGTTGACAACGCATTTGTAACTTCTCAGCTGTAGCGATGGTTTACCATTAGGTCGTCTGCTCGTTCACCTCATATTACACAAAAATAGTCATAGCATTAGATATATATTAGATATGTACCTACATTACTGCTCTCGCACCGGCACACTCCGGCTGGACTGGACATCAGTCCCAGTGAGCCCCATCTATGGTAATCAGGCGCAGCATTTCGCACGGCGTACAGTCTACTTCTTTATTATTAGTTACGGTAGTATTTTTTCGGATAATTGAAAAATGTCCGTTTGAGGACCTTTTAACAATCCAACAGTAGGTAAACTTTTATCCTTGTACCAGCTTGAGGTATTAGGACTAAGCCTATGTACATAGATAAGGTCTATAAGTTGAGCAGCGGAGTATCAAGGACAGTTTTTTTTATAGGCTTTATCTTTGCTAGATATTGTCAGTAAGGATAATGGCAACATGGCCAATTTAATTATTTTTATGAAAACTCAAAAACAACGATACATTTCTATAAATTTTGTAGGTACCTATAGGATTACTAAATTGTGATTTTAGTAGCAAATATCATCACGATTTTTGCTACTAAAACTAAAAAAAAACAGTTTAAACCTCAAATCAACCAATGAGTCCATCGTTACTTTTATGTGCACTCTACTTTATATTTATTTATTTATTTATTTAAGATTTCATGCACAAAACATTGTACATAGGCGGACTTAATGCAATGAGCATTCTCTACCAGTCTACTTTAAGATTTAAAGAGGAACCCATTATAGGGATAAAAACTATTTTTGACTTAACTATCATCACTGTTAAGTGTAATAATTATAAATGAATTTTATTGTAGGTACAAGACAAGTAGATACTTTTATTACAATTCCTATTGTAATACGCACACAAATTAGCACACGGCTACTTCTAGCGTTACGCGGTTTTACTCAGGAACCGCAACTAGATATGGATTACTTTGTTCTTACTTAGGTGCTTATATTATTGATACCTATTTAAAACCTCCTTTTTTAATTTGCGAGGTCGTCGTTTATCTTCTTGTCTGATGGTATGTGATACTATGGCTAATAAATGATGGACTACCATGCCCTTACCTTATATTATGGACTTATATGTAGGTAAAAAGTATTACTGTAAAGATTCCTTTTTTTGTTCTTACCGCTGTCACAATTTAGTTTCTTAGTTTTAAATCTAACTGACTAGCTAAAACAATCGGAAGAGCATACATGAAAATCAATATACAGACATGAGGACTAAAGCGTCGGAGCGCCACCTAGTATGATTCTTACATACTCCTTTAGTTTCCTTTGCACTTATTATGCATTTTGTTTCTAGAATCGCATGTGTTATATGCAATCTAATACAATACACTTTGCGTACAAACACGCTACTGGATCAGGTCTTTTCTGATGTAGTACTCGTACGCTATAAATAATGCATTTTGTGTGACTGTTTTTTTTTTTTAATTTAAAGTTATTAATTTGAAATGGAAGTAATTTTTTATTTTCCTGAAATGGCTCTTCGAGTAAATAACGGTTTTTAGAATAGCTTAAATGTTTTTGAACGACAAAAATAGTTTTGTCAAACAAACGTCAAGCGTGTTGACATCTATATTGTGTCAATTAAACGTCAGTCCGACAGTCATGTGGTGTTAAAAGTCAACGTCAAATCAGTTTTCAACAAGTGGTATTGCACAGTGGTCGCGTACGATGTTATTTGTTTACTGATTACGTAGTTTTGTGAAACAAAAAATGTATATTTACGAGTTACCGTTCGAGATAAACCAGGAGTTATGTCGTTTACTCGACATAGAGAACTATTGGAAGGAATTGGCAGGTAACTGGATGAAATATTCAGCCTTTGACATAAACGTAAGTATCATTTTGGGTATTTCCTATGGGCGAAACATCTTTTTAATAAGCTTTCTTGGAAATCCCAATAATTTTTACGTCTTCTTCGTCATGCGATGTGAGTCTGGCTTATACGAACGACGTCAATAATGGAAACGTGTCCTAAACATACTTTTCAAGTCCCTGTAACTTTATAATCACTTTGCAATATTAATATCAAAACATTGATATGTTAAATAGTGTGTATCGTTATCCAAGCTAACTTAATTCATTTAGTAATCTAAATTCATAGCAATAAGACTTATTTTTGCATTTTACACTGTCATACATTCTGTGAGAGATTAATACAAATTATAATACTTTTTAGGACATAGAACAAACATCAATCCGCTTAGGAGTATCACCAACAAATCAATTGCTGTCAAGATGGGGCCAACTGAACCATAGAGTAGAGGAACTTTTTATTTTGCTATACAAAATGAAGCATATTCCCGCACTCAACTGTCTTAAACCTGTTGTCAGTACTGACTTCCACAGATTGTTAAATAAACATAGATCTAAGGAAAAGAAAACTGCACTTATTAATGGTAAGTTAATTTTATTATCAAAAATATGGTATATTAGCTTCTGTACATGGCTTAACCTTTATGGTATGTTCTTAAAAAGTACCCTGTGACATCCAAGGTATACCTATTTACATACCACATTTGAACCAAATTGGTCGAGCCATTTTTGTGTCAAATATGGAGAAATATACATCCATAGATTCTCATATTTATAATATTAGTAGGATAGAAGTAAAAGTAAATATAAACCTTGAGTTATTTACAATCAATCAGTACTTAAGTTAACACCACTTAGGTCACCGGAGATTTAGGTTGTTGCGGATTTGCCTACAATTACCTATAGTTTCTGTCATCAGTGAAAGGCTTACCATTATAACATCAGGCTCACTCACCATTAATAAGAATCATAACATAACATTTAATTAACATTTCTGTTATTAACTTTGAGATTCATAAAAATATTTTGTGTCAATAATTTATGATAAATCTTAAATAATTATTTACACTGGCAATACTTACTGATAAAATTCTTTGACATAAATACCATATTTACATACATTAGTTATCTATAAATATGATACCAATGTTTTGTGTAAAGTTTCTCAGGTTGAGGTATAAGCTAAATATACCTATTCCGGAGTGCATCCTATGCCTGTGCCAAATTTAATCTAGATCCATCAACCTGTTTTGGCGTGATTGAGTAACAAACATCCAAACATCGTAACTGTCGCATTTATAATATTATTAAGATGTATTTTTTGATTATTTCAGACCATACAAATAAGAAGACTTCAATAAAGACTGATGGATCTATACCGTTACCTGTAATGCTGATCGAAAATGTAAGTATTGCTTGTCTTTCGTTTTAGATTTTTCAATGATTATGTATGATGCTTTCGCGTCATAATGTTTGTATAAGACAGTGACAGCTACAATTTTTTTCCTCACATAACATTTATCTGACTATTGAAAAATCAGTCCTAACTGACATAATTATGTTTAATCAATTTTTTCGGCATACTTACACACGTATTTATTTATAACAACGACTCGCTCGGGACTAAACAAAAGCTTTAACGAATCGAAACATTAGGTATTGTTGTACCTTTCTTTTGTTTTATTTCTCATAAGCCACATGAGTAGGTAATATAACAAAAAGCCATGACCACTGTCGTTAAGTATACACACACCAGAATTTCTACCTTTATGAGGGCATTTACGAACATACCTACAATTTCAAATATAGAATGGCGTCTCGAAACAATTAGCGTCTTAGGAACTTATAGAAATTCAAATGTACCTAGGTACATACTTGCATGCATAATATGCATATACATACGCACATAAATGTAAATGTATCTACCTCCCTACTTCATATTTAAACGTGGAATAAGAATTTGAGAATCGTAAACACTGCAACGCGGAAGTAAGATGCAGCTATGTTAAATTCGTATAATATGTAAGTTGGCATCTCTTTTGCGCAAAACAACTTTCTCTGATGACATTACCAAAAACTGAATGATACCAAAATAGCCAATACAAGATGATACGGAAATACAATTGAGATAATTGTATTTCCGTATCATCTTTCCTGTTCTTCCTTTCCTTTCCTTTCCTGTCCTTCGAATAAATTTGAGCTCTCGCTTGATAGGGTTAAGATTGATTTCCGATTAACTACATCTGGAAGGTCGACAAAATCCAGGCTTCATTGAAAACCGAACTTTATGTAGGTATATACGGAAAACAAGGTTAATTTTTGATAATCATTTAATTTCACCTTCGTATTGAGGACGTAGGTCGAGAGGGTACCTGTTTTTACCAATTAAGGGGAAGTCAAGGTCGGTCAAACCTTATACATAATAATATATAAAGAAGCATTTGTCATAAACCGGTTCCGTGAATTTAATTATCTTTTGAGGATATAAACATCTACAAGGATAAAATGAGAGGTTTCTTTTAAACGCGATTTTATTAGGTCAAGCTGAATGATCACAGTTTTGAGTGCATGCGCATTAAATACTGCGGCCCCGTCTCGGAGCAGGAGAAGGAACTGGTTTTTAGTCAGTAAGAGTCTGACACTCCCTCTTGCCTCTCCTAGAAGGAAGGAAGAATCTGTATTATGACGTCAGCGTAGAACTCCTACGTGTATTACCTACCATTATCCAAACTATTATTATAAATGCGAAAGTAACTGTGTCTGCTGTTTGTCTTTTCTTCACGCCTAAACTACTGAACCGATTTCTATGAAATTTGGCACAAACATAGTTTGGAACTCAAGAAAGGACATAGTATAGTTTTTTATACCAAAAATCTGCAGAAAGTCACTATTCCACGCGAACGGGGTCGCGGGAAAAAGCTAGTGCTATAATATAAATACATACAGTTCAAAAGAGATTTGTCAAAGACATTTGACAGAGTACTGCGATAGCTGTCTCCTGATAATGCTAACAGCAATCCGTCTGTCAGCTGAATTTGTATTTGTATTTCGAAATAAAACGTTGCCCCACTAGTATTTTATCCTGGGTCATGGGTATACAAAACATAAGCACTTGCATAAGTGTCCCAGACCCGAAACAACCATTTATGGATCACACAGAATATTGTTCCATTATCCTTTGCGACATACAAGCACTATTTTGATCTTTGTAAAACCTTAGTCTAAGTCTACCTATTGAAAACTTTTTTAGGATCACTATAAGGTGACACTGTTGATTAGTTGTAAGATTAGTTTTTTATGAAGTTGAAATAATCAAATGACCTCTCGCCTTGGGTGCAGTGAGAGAGTGTCAGACTCTTACGAACTAAAAGTCAGCCCGTTCTTTGGCCTGCTCCCAGTCGGGGTTGTAGAACGTTGCGGGTAAAGCGCCAACCTCCGTTGAGTAAGATTCGTTTTTTTATTCATTTTAATGTTATAGGTAGCTGAAGCAGCATTTCTTCTTATATACCACCTCGCATTTCATATTTAAGAAGCTCTACCACACATTCAAATTCTTATTAGGTTGCTCGAAGCAAAAAGTTTAAGCGCAAAAACCCGTTCTAAAGTTGAATGAGTAAACTAAAGTTCATTGTTTTAAACTTTCAAGTAAACTTCTGTATAATTTAAATTTGGAATTGGGTAGTAGATATCACTATCTTCTATCCCCTTCTGAATACATATACATTCAGTCAACAAAGTATCGGGAATGAATGTTTTTTTTATGGTTCCAAATTCGAATTTTAATTTTATCTGTTGTTGTTAGATTGGCATAACTGTTTTCCATTTTGGCGCGGAATTTGAGTTGCATCTGTCATTTATATTAAAAACAGTGCTGTTTTTAGTTTTATAATATCTAGTGTGTATTGCGAATTTCTTATTGGACAAAAACATCGAACAAAGAGTTTGTCTTAAATTTTGCATCGCCAATGAAATTTCGACTTTATCAAAAACACGTGCTTATGAGTGGTACAAAGCGTTCAAAAGCGGTCGAGATGTGATGGAAGATTTGCCTCGTTCTGGTAGGCCATCAACGTCTGCAACTGAAGTTAACATCGCAAAAGTGAAGGAAATAGTGACTGAGAATCCTCATTCAAGTTTGAGAGAGATGGCCGCCGAACTTTCTGTATCTCACGAGTAGATCCGTACCATTTTAACAAATAATTTGGGTATGAAACGTGTTGCCGCTCGGCTAGTCCCAAAAGACCTGAATTTTCTTCAAAAACTAAATCGCATGAAAGTCGCTGAGGACATGCTAGAACGAGTCAATACCGACCCAACATTCATGAAACGCATTGTTACTGGTGACGAGACGTGGGTTTACGAGTTTCACATGCAAACTAGCCAACAAGCTCCGGAATGGCGCCTTCCAACTGAACCAAAACCGAAAAAACTACGTGAAAGTCGATCAAAAGTCAAAGTCATGTTGACTGTTTTCTTTGACTATCGCGGTGTTGTGCACTCAGAATTCTTGCCCGAAGGTCAAACGGTAAATAAAGAATATTATTTGAGCGTTATGCGGCGTTTAAGAGAACAAATTCGACGAAAAAGGCCAGAAATGTGGAAAGAAAATTCTTGGATTTTGCATCACGATAATGCGCCTTCGCACAAGGCCATCATTGTAAATGACTTTTTGTCCAAACACTCAACAAACACCATCGAGCAGCCACCATATTCACCAGATATGGCTCCAGCCGACTTCTTTCTTTTTCCCACATTCAAATTACCCCTTCGTGGCACCCGTTTTCAATCGTTAGAAGACATAAAGGAGAATTCGCGGCGAGCACTGAACTCAATTCCGGAAACAGCGTTTAAAAAAAGTTTCGATGATTGGATTATTCGTTGGCGTAAGTGTATCGTTTCTGAAGGAGCATACTTTGAAGGTGATAAAATAAATTTAGATGAATAACAAACATTTTGTGTATTATTGACTTTTTCCCGGTACTTTCTTGACAGAGTAGTAAATTGCCATGTAAGATCCCTATATCTATAACTAGCTCTTACTCGCGGCGTCGCTTCCGTAATTTGACTACCTACCCTACTCTACCTACCCTGCCTACCCTACTCTACTTACCCTACCTACCCTACTTTACCTAACCTACTTTACCTACCCTACTTTACCTATCCTACTCTACCTACCATACACTTCCTACCCTACTCTTCCTACACTACTCTACCTACACTACTCTACCTACCCTACTCTACCTACCCTACTCTACCTACCCTACTCTACCTACCCTACTCTACCTACCCTACTCTACCTACTCTATCCTATCCTATGTCCTTCTCCTGGCTCTAAACTATCTCCCTGCCAATTTTCAGTTAAATTGGATCAGCCGTTCTTGAGTTATAAGTGGTGTAACTAACACGACTTTCTTTTATATATATAGATGACTATGTAAGGCGTCGTTTACGCACACGCGTTGATTTGTCGTACATTGCAGCGTCAGACTGCATCATCACCCTCGAAAAAACAAACAATCATATAAACATAAGGAGCTATGTATTTCGAACCGTACCACGTAAACGAGATATAAGAGTTGACTAGCGGCCGAAAATAATAAGAGATATCAATCCAAAATTTTTAGATAATGATAAATGTTTTCAGTTAGTTGTATCTGTAGATTTTTAGTTTAGCCTTTCAATCGTGGTGACTTGATACGCAATAGAAGAACAATAGCTGCGCGAACGCCGGCGTTCGCTTGGGATGAGGTGAAATAAGATTGTTGTACCAAAATACAGAACCACTCTGTATCACAGAAATTGTATGTTTATGTGTATAAAAATCTATAATAAAATACCCCAAACTATCAGAGAACTTCCATTAAGATTGTTTGAAGTAAAAATAAAGGAATGGCTGGCACAAAAGTGTTATTATGCAATTAGGGATTTTTTTAGAAAATAAGTAATGTGAATGAGGATTTTAAGATGTCATAAATAATATCAAAACTTCTAATATTTGATAATAACTTTTATATAATTTTTGTTGTTTACTTGTAATTTTGTTTTAATTAATAATGTAACAGCCCAAATGGGCCTTGATTATTGTATGCCCAAACGGGCTGATTGTTGTACTGTATACCACTATAAATATGTATAACACCTGTAACCAACACAATAAAGATTACTTTAAATAATAGTAGGTTTTTATATTGACCATAAACTAGCTCTCTGATAAATCTAAGCATTAGGTAATATCAAGCGTTCTCTTTGGCCACGTGTCCGGCTACTGACAGAAAATTTGATAGTAAAATTCGACTAAAAAAAACGACTAGTCGATCCATGTTTTATATAGAAATCAAAATATAAAACTAAACATTTTTATTAACATACTAACATATTAACATATTATTATTTTAAAGGCATGTT